TTATCTGCTTATAGATTTCCAAAAGTTTTTTGTGTTGGTTAAAACGTACCTCAAATGTGACTCACCCATTTTCTCAGTCCGCGTAAAAGACACAAATAGCTTTTAATTACAAGGTGACATACATGATAAAAAAACAAGTTTAATTAGTCAAGCAGGTAATTTCCTATAAGCTATTTATTTCTGTTTATATATCAATTTTCACAATTATCCATTTTATCACATCAATGAGTTTTTTTGTTGATACACGTCTTTGTAAACGTGTTGATACAAATATTTATATAAATCAAAAGCGCTGGTTACAAAATTGGAGTAAAATTTGTTATTAAGAAAATTTTTGTATTAGTTTTATAACTAATATGAAAATGCAGTAAAACGAAAGTTTTTTTGTTCTATCATGCTTATAATAAATAAAAATTTTGGTGTTGAACTCAAGAAACTTGATAATGATTTAAGATCTACCGCTAGAAAAATCGAATAGGAAGCTAACTAACGTGGAACATGCTGTTATTTTCATCAATAATAATTATTACATCAATATTATTAATTTATGTTAATAAAATTATTATTAACTAACAGTAAATTTTACCATTATATTTGATATATATATATATTTCAATATTCCGTATCGTATTTTTATCATAATTTTTCAACTTATTTATATAGAAAACAAAGATTTTAATTAACTTTTAATTCATTAACAGAAAAAGCTTTTTTTCGGGTTGGAAGTGAGGTTGTCATTTTTTTGTTGTATATTTATTTTTGGTTTATTGATGTCGATTAGGACTGCTTCTGCAATTTTAAGATGTTGCTGTTCTGGTATATTACTTTGGTGTTGCTGTCGAGGATTTCACGGCTAATTGTGATTGAGTGTGTTGAGTCCAAATGAGATTTGATACCACCACTCTGTTTATGCATCGTAAGCCTTCTAGTCAGTGAGGTAGTAGTAATCCAGATATATGAGTCATGTTGACGTGCACAGCCGTCAAAGGGGCAATTAAATCCATATATTACGCCTTAGCACAGAGTTATCTCTTGGACTACAGTTGTTTTTCAGTATTAGGTGAGACGTCTTTTTATTGTAATATATTCGGCTCGCACTCGTAAATTATAAAATTTTTAAATAACATTTTTAAAAAAGACAAAAAATTAACCGCTTTAAATATCATTCATTATTTTTTCAAGACAAGAAAAATTAAAAATTGCGCTTTTAAACATTTATTACATCCATATATACATATAATCTATATATGCATATATATATATGTGTATCCATGATTACATCACAACAAAGACAACGGCTCTTAAAAAGGGGGGGAAGCTAAATGGCGCAAATTAAGCTAGATTTATTTTTAACTCTTTGTTTACTAATTTATGGAATTTACGCTTTAACTCAGAGTTATCTCTAGGACTGCAGTTGTTTTTCAGTATTAGGTGAGACGTCTTTTTATTGTTGTAATAAATTCGGAGTTTAACTTTACTATTTGGGTTGGTTGGTGTGACATTTTTATTGATGATATGTTTAAGAATAGCTTCATCTACCTTGTATGCTGTTGACATGTGATTTCTGTAATACAAGATGGTGTCGTTATCTTGATTGTTGGTACTAGGAAGGTTATTGCTGAGTAGTAATTTGCCTTTAACAATCTTTTCAATAGAGTAAGTCTTATATCCATTGTTTACAAGCAGGTTAGTGACTCTCTTAAATTCAGCGTCGCGATTTTCAATATTGGAAGAGTGTGTGAATGCCCGGTTCACAAATGATTTTATTGTGCTGTCTTTAAATTGTTCAGTGCATTCACTTTGTCCATTCAAACAAATTCCTGTATTCGTTTCTTTGACATGGATTTTGTTTGAATGGACAAAGAAGTAATAAAAACTAGCATCGTAAATAGTGACAAAGAAGAATATGATGCTATCGATGAAGAAAAGGAGACCAAAGAAGATGACCAGCCAATTAAGAAACCATACGAGAACTACTCTTTCTAGAAGACTCACCATGCATACACAGAATGGTGCCATTAAGGACCATATGGAACAGGTACATCATCAGGAACATATTGGATCCCAACACAACGATCCTTGAATATGAACCCGATCCAGTTCGCCTCAAAATTAAAGAAGCCCTTCATATCAACAAGCATAAACCCTCACTCAATAAACAATATAACAGCTTTGATCACACTTTGCAATTGTTTTCCTAATATCACGATCTCACACCTACTGTTGCCGTTGGGGTTAATCCACAGGATCTGCGTGTACCACAACGATATGAATATCATTCTACGTTGAATACATTTCAACCCATTAACACGCAGTTTGTGACCCAGCGTCATCCGACAACCGTCATTGCGTCGGTGGATGTATTATGTGATACTTAATATTTGATCTATACATCGATATGTATCTTGCATGTACATATATGTATTTCTATTTAACTATGTATCCGTAGGTCTGATGTGGAAACTCGTATCACACATATTCAACCGCAATAGTTGTATTCACAACGCATACACAGCAATATTATATATCTGGCGCACATGTCATTCGTAATTAGTTTTCACTAACGTTTTTCAACCATGTTAAAACTTTTATAAAATTTCTATATTTTAATTATTTTACTAAACATTTTATTTAAATTACATTATTTTATTTATATAATCTACATAAACTTTAGTTATTATGATATTTACAACAAGGTTAATTTATTTCACAATTTAATACATATTTTATTTTCTATATTTTCACATTTTACATTAGACATTTATTTTAATTAAATTATATGTTTAAACAATATTTAGGCTCTGAAGATGGCATTACGCCGAAACAGCGCTGTTAGCTTTATTCCAGTTTTAGATAAATATGAACTCGATACCGCCTCGTTGAATGTCTTATAAAGAAGTTAATTAATGCAAAATGGGCAAACAATTTCAATGAAATTTGCATATATATATATATACAAGGCCGTAGCCAGGATTATTTTTCAGAGGAGGGCTGTCGGAATACTTTTTTTATAATTGTTTTCCTGCTTATTTGTTCTTTACATGGCAAAACTTTACTTTAGAACATCAAAGCAATCAAATTTTAAAAGAGAAAACGAGAGAACGATTAATGAATAAATATGTTTAAAAGTGAATTGCTATTAATATTGTTATTTATTAGAATGTTGATATTAAGGTATTAACGTAAAATACTGAAAAAAGTTTTAAAAAATTATTAAATCATAACCATGAATATATATAATATGGATATGGCAGACGCGTTACATATATATACATTGTTCATATATATTTAACATCAAGGTCAATCCACATAACTAGAATAAATGTAACGGCCTTCGCTCAATTTTAACGGTCGAACAAGGAGCATACTCCCGAAGGGGATTTGGAGGGTGATTTTTTTTTATCGTTCGAGTCAGAAGTTACGATCGTATATTTACTAATTCCGGAATATAGCTTTTATTAAAATGTTAAAATTTAATTTTTTTAAATGGTTATTCAATTACTTTAATTTGGTATAAATTAAAAAAAAAAAAAATCGACTTTACCGAAAATAATTATAAGTTTAAAAAATTGAGGTTTTTTGCATATCCCTGCCCCAACCCATAAGAAAGTGTTGTATATTGGTAAATAGGCCTCCTCTTGGGTCAATCTAACAAAGATTTGTTGAAAAGTAAATTAAATTAAACAATCAGTTTTTAGCCGGTTGTTTAGCTATTATCGTTTTAGATGCTTTTTTTTGTAAATTTATTGACATTTAATTAAAAAATTTGTCTATAGTAAGACGTTTGATCGTAAAAAATCAATAAAATGTCAATTACTATGAAAAAATGTTTAATGTTTACACGTTTAATTCCATAGAACTAAGCAAAATTATTAGCAGGTAACAGTTCTTATTCCATATCCACTATATCCATGATCATAACTTCTTTTAAACTTTCATCAATTAATTAATAATTTTGTAGGGTTAACATAATAGTTTCGGTTTTCTTTTAAAGAGATAGTTTTTACGTTGTAGACATTCAAGTAAACTCACATGCTTGCATATATGTGCGTAGGAATTTAAATAAACGTTTATGCAATTATATTTGTTATATTTGCACGTATTTTAACATGGAATTTGACAAATAGGCATCAAAATAAACTTCCATGCATTTTTTGCAAGTATTTTACCATGCAATATAACGGATAGGCATTAAAATAAACACATAATTAATGATTGTTACAAAAAATTATCAATACAAATTATTTTTGGCGGGGCTGTAGCCCCCCAGCCCCCTTAGCTACGGCCTTGTATATATATATATATATATATATATATATATATATATATATATATATATATATATTTACAATATTCTATAAATTCTACCAAATGTTTGGCGTTAATATGTTTGTAGTTCGTTTTTTCGATTTTTCTCACTAAAGTTTAGTGAGAAAAGTTTAGTTTCTATAAATTCTACCGAATGTTTGGTAGAATTTATAGAATATTGTAAAAATTATGGTCTATTACCAACATATATATATATATATAGTGTTGTCCAAATTATTAACTAACAATGGAAATAATAAAGACTATAAAAATAAGATGAAAACAAAAAACAAATAAAAGTAAACAGAGTTGCATATCGATGAACTATTCTTTAACTCTGCTGTGGATGAAGTCTGAAAGTACGATAGCTGATGTGCATTCGTTGTCGGTTTTCCACTATGGTAAACATTTTGTTGCAGTTTTATTTGTTTTAAATAATCGTTATCATATTGTTCATAATTCACTTTATATTTGTCATTCAGATACTTTCTATTGTTTAAACCAGCAATTTTTTTGGTGCTACTGGCACATTCATCTTTCCACCAATGAAGGTACATGGCCTGCATTTCATCACCTGATTTCATCTTTTTAATTTCTGCATCTAGAAAATTTTTTAGAAGTAAAAATTTTTTGTTAAAAATTTCACTTTTTGGCTGTTTTTTGTTTGACAAAACATATTCTTCTGCGAATTCTAACGTCGCATTTTTGGCAATGATAAATGCATAATCTACTACGTCAAGGAATGGCTCAGTGGTGTAGAGATCGCAAGGTTTCTTTCCTGCTTCGAATTCTGCTATCGGAGTATCAATTATAAACGCAAAATTTCCCATTCTTGCTCGTTCCACTCCTTCTTGCCTGTTATATTTAAGCAAAATAGTTGATTATTAATTTTCTCACTTCAATATATCCTCACAATCGCATAACACTTTTCAATTCATACAAACACGATCAAAAATCTACACCACCCCAAAAAACGCATACACACACTGCACACACACTCATACATATTTATATATCACAGCATGTTCGGCGTTAGTTAACTTCCTGTCTAACTTTTCAATTTTTCTATAGGTTGATTGTAAATCATTCTCAAGTTTCTTAAGTTCAAAACCAATTTTTTTTTTTTTTTTTATGAATGATAGAACAAAAAAGTTTTTTCGGTATTCTTATACCATCTTCGGTGTTCTAATTGATATATTGTGTATGTGCCCAGATGCTCAAATATATATTTACCGTGCCTCTACTCTACTTTGTTGATACCTTGTGTGTTTAAACTGAATACTTAACGCTCATTTAATTAGTTTTACAATCTTCAACTTTGTTAAATATAACACTTCTATGTGTATAAGTTTGCTTTCGAATAACCTGATTTATTAATCTAAAATAGAAAATCCAAATGAGTGAATAAAGAACATAAATAAAATCAATTGAAACAATATGAAATATTACAGAAATTATAAATGAATAACCAACCTAAAATAGAAAAATTAAATTCCAGGATCGTTTACAATCCAGCAATTATAAAATCACGTGCAATAATAAAATATAACCTCGTGCTATTTGCATTTATATATAAGATAATACCAAAGTAATGAAACATAATTTACAAGCATAGAATAGAAATTCAAAGAATACCTAAACGTAGATAATTATATGAAATATAATTTACATCTCTCTCCCTCAAGTCACTTTTTGAGGTACATAAAGTGACAATTGATTAATGTGAAAAAAATGTGACTCCTTCTTTCCGCAGTCTACTTCGAAGATCGACGGTGAAATCTTGCTAAGAATTTTAAACGGATCCACTCTTATTCTGTCCATTTTACCTCTATTAAGTTTACTCCCATTCTGGATATAGACTTGATTGCCCACTTCAAATTCGTACTCTTGGCGATTTTTGTCAACCCTTTTCTTGTTTATTTCAAAATTTTGCATAGAATTTCGACCGGCTTGTATTCTATCTGCAGCTAAATCGCTTTCCGGTACGTCATATGGAGTGATAGTTGACTTTATGCCGTATAATAAAAATTCAGGTTCAAATTTCGTGGAACTATGAATTTTTCGATTGTATTCTTTGACACATTCGTCTGCAATAACGGACCATGCCTGTTTTTTTTCCACTGTTAAGTTTACATCCTATTCTGTTTACAAGTGTTTGGTTTAATCTTTCATTTAGTCCATTTGATTGAGGGCAGTCTAAGCATGTAAAAACCACTTGAATATTCATCTTGTTTAGATTCTGCTTTAGTTTTGTAGAATTAATTCCGGTGTACTGGTCGGCTAAAAGTATTTTAATATTATTTTTCTTAGCAATCGGATAAATTAACTTTATGAAATCTGCTAAGCATTGACTTTTTGTAGTGGAGATCCAAGCATATCTACTAAAATGATCTACCAAAATATGCATATATTTCTTTGGTGACATATTACCGGTAAATCCACCAACTGTGTCAATGGACATAATTTGGAATGGTTCTGTCGCTGGTCCTAGTTTTGACATTAATCCGATGATTCTATTTCTTCTAGTTTTGTTCTCTAAGCATATAGTGCAACTTTTACAAAATTCTTCAATTAGTTGATCAAAATTTTTGAAATAATAAAATGGTCTTATTTTCTCTTTCAATGTTCCAGCTCCAATATGTCCATAATATTCATGTACCTTTTTATTATTCTTAAACCAAATTTATCAGAAACAAATATCCTTGATTTTTCCTTCAATTTTTTGTAAATAATACCATGGCGTTTTTCAATCTTCTTGGCACTCTTTAATTCAGTCATGTTATCATTTTGATCCTGAAGAATTGCAGGTCTTTCAATTAAATTTACAACTTGGACTGCATCCTCATCTTCAAAATATTCTAATACTGGTGATCGAAAAAGTAAATCAGCCATTATATTTTCCTTTCCTTTCTTATAAATAATTTTAAAGTTGAATTGAGACAAATAGTGCCCTAAATCGCCCAATATTTCATCTGTTCTACTTTTAGTTTTTAGATTCTCTAGAGGTTTGTGGTCACTACAAACAACAAATTCACGACCAATCAAATAATATTGCCAGTATTTTATTGCGTCTTTGATGACTTTGCATTCAAGATGGATGATGTCCATTTTCTTTTCTTTTTCTGATAATTTTCTTGAGAAGTATGCGACAGGATGTAACATACCATCAGGATGTAGTTGTTTCAAAGTAGCTCCCATTCTTTTATAACTGGCATCAGTTTCAATATAAGTGTCTTTGGCTTTATCGTAAATGGCTAAGATTGGCTGAGAACATAAATATTCTTTTATCAAGTTGAAAGAATTTTCAAAATTTTGGGACCAATGAAACTTAACATTTTTTTTCAAGGGCTTATGCAGTGGTTCAAATTTTTGAGCACTATTTTCGATGTATTTAAGATAGAAGTTAATAGATCCTAACACGCTTCTAACTTCTGTTTTATCTGTTGGTCTCTTAAGATTCTTGATGGCGATTAAATTTTCTTGAGCTGGTGCTACTTTTTTTTTTGAATAAAATGTCCAAGATATTTAATGGTTTTAGCAGCGAACTTACATTTTTCTAATTTTAATTTAAAACCTTCTTCTTTGATAATTTGAAGAGTTTTTTCAATATGAATAATGTGTTCTTCCCAAGAGCGTGAAAATATAAGTATGTCATCAATATAGTTAATGCAAAATTTGTCCAGATTATTTCTTCTTATGATATTGGATAGAATACGTTGAAAAATTGCTGGAGAATTTTTAAGACCAAAGGGTAAAACCTTAAACATGAATTTTCCATACTTAGTGATAAATGAAGTTTTTTCTCTATCTTCCTTTTTTAATAATATACACCGAAATGCAGAATTTATATCAAGTAAAGTGAAATATTTGCAAATTGGCACTTTATCTATGACATCATTAATAGTAGGGAATGGATAGCATTCAGGAACTACTAATTTATTTAATCGTTTGAAATCAATGCAAAGTTTTGTCCGACGACCATAATCTTTTTTAAAAGCAAGAGTTACTGGCGAGGCATAAGGGGATTCCGATTTTTCAATTAAATCAGCTTCTAATAACTTCTTGACTTGAGTCTTGATTTCCTCTTCATCAACTATGGAACATTTATATGGTCTTGCTATATATTCATCTCTTATTTCTGCTTCTTTTGACTTCATTTTTCCTACATCATATTTATCTTTTGCAAACATATGTTTGTACTTGTTTATTAAATTTAAAATATCTTTTCTTCTATTTTCATCTTCAATGTGGTTTGTGGTTTAAGATTTCACACATTGTTTTATTCATATTTTCGTTAAAATTGACTTCTGAAATTTTAATTAAATTATTTTTATCTGCCTTTTGTAGATTAAATTGGTTGTCAGTCAGTTCATCTGATTTAACCATGTTGTGATTGTTATTCATCTTATCTCTTTCTTCTATTTTGATGATCTTGTTTTTATTAATTCTTTGTAGAATGTTAAAATTTTCATATTGAATTAGTTTGAACTTTTTTTATTGCATCTAGACCCAGTAATAGGTCATAGGAAAAATTGTTATTTTTGACTACGTATGTATTTAAATTATCTGTTAAATTACCAACCTTAACAACTATATTTGCCCGGGCCGAACTAAAATTGAACCCACTGATGGTTTTGAAAGTACTTCTATTATTCATTAAGCCTAGTTTTAAAATATCTATAATTTTCCTATTTATTAGACTTATATTTGATCCACTATCATAAACCGCTTTAACTTTTAATTTATTATCGATTATTACGTTTACTCTTATCAGTGCATTCAGATTTCTTGTCAATTTCAATTTTCATCATATGTGCTTCGTCATCTGTTGGTAGTTAGTATCATGAATATTAATTTCTCTTTTTGATAAGTAAAGAGTCTTATTTCCACATTCATTTGTTGGATGGTATCGATTTTTCCAGCCCAGTTCTTCACACACAAAACATGGTTTATTTGCTGTGGTATTAATATTCTTCTCTGACCTGATAAAATTTGGTCTAACAAAATTTTCTTTATTTAGAGTGTTATTTTCATATCTTTGATTTTGTTTATTTAGAGTATTATTTGTCTTTGCTTCTACTTTGTATTTTGGTACCAAAATTTCTTTGTCTACATTTTCATATCTCTGTTTGTGTTGATAAAGTTGCTTTGTCTTGACATCGTATTGTATGGTATTTCATTACTTAAAAATTTATTGTCATATTTCGGCTTGATGTTAGAAACGCATTCATCAATTTTTGTTAGTTCTTTGAACAGTTTCTCAATGGTCGTTATTTCTTCTCTATCAAGCTGGTTTTGTATTTCTACAGGAAGGCCCATAACGATCATGTTTATTCTCGACATTTCAATTTCTAAACATAGGTTTTCCTTTGTTAAGGCATAATCTATTAAAGAACCACCTAAATATTTGTAATTATATGCGGTTCTTATTTTTTTCCAACCTCTATCTGCAAAAATGGTCAGAAAGGATTTGCTCCATTCTGACCAATTAGTTAAGCCGATCTTTTTTAAATTTGATTCGTACCAATCTTTTGGTGACCCAGATAAAAAGAAGCGTAATGCTTCTATGACATTAGTAAGATTTAGTATTTTATGCCTTCTACATTCATTTTCAAATTTCTCTATCCATTCAGTAGGGTTTTGCTTTTTGTTGAATTTTTACAAAATAAATTTTTTTTCAACGTCTTGCAGCTGAAAGTTATCATTCAGACTTAGCTTAGCTTCTAATTCCTTAATTCGTTCATTTAAAAAATTGTCATCTGATTCATCTCTATGTTTATTATCAATAATTTTTTCTTCTAACATATTATCTAAAAAACATAGATTTTCGTCTTCGTCGTAATATTCTTTTCTCA